CTTAGATACCGCGCCCCTCTTTCGTTGATACCTGTACTAGTTTTTCGTTAATTCAGCCTGCCCTCAGGATCATGGGCTATATTTCGACAGCATTTCCCCTGGTCCGGACCTATGAGCTTTGGGAACCTCTGTTGGAATACTACACAGCCCCTTATTCATTAAGACAAAAATAGCCGGAGTCCAATTTGTTTGAATCAGTTCATACAACTGACAGGCTCCTCCCAAACATCCCCTCTCCGATCACGAGACGTCGAAAAGGCACCATTGAACAATCGATGATTGGCTCTCAAGCGACGGCAGATGATACCTGTCAAAATATTCGGCCACCTGTGTTGCAACCGTCTTGGCATGTGCCAATTTATAAATCTTCCAAATTCGTATTGCGATTTCCTATTACACGAATAACACCTTCTCCGCATTTTCCAAGACGGATGCGTGTTGCGCTCGATTTGGTTGAGCTCAATAGGCTAAATCTCTACAACTCGGCAGTTCGACAGCGCCCAGGTCGGTTTGCAGGAGGGGCTTCCGTTGGCGATTTTGAACGGCTTGATGGTGGCGAAGGTATGGAAAAGCATTAATGGGGCAGTGAGAGGGACTGAGTGATGAGTTGGAACTATAAAAGTGATCCCCATCACTGCCGATTTAGGACTGAAACCTTTGGACAGCAAGTTGAACACAACATACTCAATCACAGATATTCTCGCAATCAATCCCCAACATGAAGTACATTTTGGTTCTTTCTGTGGTTTCTGGCGCTCTTGCCTCTCTCAACTGCACGGCTACAGCAAATGTCAAGACGTACTGCTGCCCAGACGCCAACTCTGAGGTCGTCAAGACAGGTCCCGCAGGTGCCCTCATCATGATGGGCTGCGCCGCCGACAACACCAACAAGTTCGTCTCTCACTTGACGCCCATCATGGCCTTATTTCTAATGCGGACAGGAACTGGTACTGGAATTACAACGGCCTGTACACGGCATATTCGACCCAGTTCAAGGACTGCTACCTGAACACTATCCCCTTCAACGACCTCAAGGGTAAGCTTCTCTTCTCCTCCGTCCTCTCTTCGAGGGAGGACATCTTGGATTCGGCGGTGGGAAAGCTGATCTGGGTGGCATGACAAAGTCCTTCCGGACTGCAAGGACGATACCTACGTGCTCGACCTCACTCGTGGCAAATCCGGGCCCCTTGACAAGTGCAACCCCAACTGCGTCAGCCAGAACAAGTTCCCTGCCAACACCTACTTTGGTGATCGACAGAAGGAGACCAACATGGCCTCGGACTTCCCGCGTCCGGGTGGGAGCGGTGGAGGGTGGCCATGGAGGGGCAGGCAGCGACGGACTTGAGCTGCGGGAGCTGTTCCGTTAAGTCGGTGAGATGGAAATATAAGGCTTGGGGACACACTCGCTTCACGTTGGTATTTCCTTGTTATTGATAGGTTGAGCAAATCAATTATAGTCGATCCAGCAGACTTGCCTGCGTCTGATCCAAGTACTAGCATTAAAGAGGGTGAAGGTAAATATCCAATCAACGCCAGGTTTCCAAAAAATACGAAAAATCAAAAAGGTATCAAAAGTAGGCCGTAACAGCATATCATCCGAAGCCTCCAGATCCAATCTATCCTCTCTTATTATTTTGCCGCTGCCACGGCCGCTTGCGTCTGGGCGGGAGGTGCCGCTGCCACAGGAGGAGGTGGCGCAGCAGAACTCTCGCCTCCTTCGTGCCCGTGCCCGAAAAGCTTCTTGATGCTCTTGGGGTCTTCGATGGCGTCCAGAGCCTTTTGCGTGGTGCTCTTGTGCCCATGCTCCCCCGCACCCTCCATTGAATCCAACTCGCTCTCGCCCGAGCTGAGAGAGCTGGAGCTGGGGCTGCGGTTGAGCACCATGTTCACCATTCTGCCCTCCTTCTTCTTGATCTCGACCTGCTCCTTCTTCATCTTCTGCAGCTTCTCGTCCTCGCAATGCATCACGACGATGCCCATGCCAGGGAAGTTGGCCTCGAGGAACTCCTTGAGCTTCGGGAGGATGGACTTGTCGGGTCGGTAGGTGCCGGAGTCGTTGTCGATGGTGAGCTGGTAGTGAGCGGGGTTGTGCGGGGGGTGGCCATTCGGAGGGCCGCCGGGCAGCTCGTCTGAGGGGTGTGTCTTCTCTTTAGGCTCGGGGTCTTCCGAGGCATCCGGCTTTTCGAGCCGGCGGACGAAGAACTCGCCTGAGCAGGCGATGTAGGTTTCAACGTCGCTGTGCATGGTGTGCTTGCTAAGCATGTCGATGCTGAATTCCTTTCCGGTTTCCGTGAAGCGGAACATGCCGTCGAGGGTCAAAACGTATGTGAAGATGCGGCCACCTTCGTCGAAGTGGACCATCTTGAGGAACTGGAGAGCTGCCTCCTTGGATCGTGCTTTGAATACGCCGTACTCGGTCGATCTGTCGAAGTTGTAGACACGGTTGTGTTGCTTGTGCAAGGCCTTGTTGAGGATCCTGCCTCGCAAGCCACTCTTCGCGAACATGAGGCCGATCATGGGCCTGAACTCAACATAACGGTGGTAGAGCTCAGGTGGCACTGGACCTGAGAGCTGCATCTCATTCGATTGGAAGCTAGAGAGTTAGAAACCACGTCCGGCGATAGAACAGATGATGAACCTACTCGTATTTGGTCGTCTTCTTTTTGCCCTTATTTTCGTCCTCATCGAAGAGTTGATCGGACCCAGCATCCTCGCTCTCATCCCTGTTGACCTTGACACCGGTGAGGCGTCCGATCATGGGACTGAAGTGCTTGAAGTAGCTCGTGGGGCCCACGGTGTACATCTGCGCGTGAGGAGGATTCGACTCTCCCAAGACTTCCATGCTAATCCATAGCCTCGGCGACATGTCTACGTTAGGATCAAAGTGGCTGGTGATGGCCTTGAAGAAGTACGCGCGCTTGCTACCCATGCGCTTCTTCGCGATGAACTCTTGGCCAGGTTGCGGGTAGCCCTTCCACTCCAATCCCACATGCGGGACGCGGACAGTGACATTGCCGAGACGGTCATCGTGGTCGGGGTAATCTTCATCGTAGAGCCGGCACTTGATGATGAAACCATCGGAAGGAATGTTAGCGACAACCCACTCGTCGTTCCACACGGGCTCGGTCGTCGTTCTCTCCGTCTTTGTGCGATGCGTCAGGTCTGGGTCCTCTTTGTGGCGCTTGGGGACAGCTGCCTTGAGTGTGACGTGGATGTAGGGGTCCGACGATCTGGTGCCCAGGTCTGCAGCCGGCAGGTTCGAAGCTTTGTGGAAGATGAATCGCACGGTGTACCCGGGAGGCGCATCTGGGAGCGGGGTCTTGTCGAAGCCGCCAGAAGGTTGGGTCTTGTCCTTGACCTTCTCTTTGCTCTCGGCATAGAGTTCCTTAAGATTGCTGGAGCGATGATGCGGCTTCTCGTTGGGGGTCTTATGACCGTCAGCATTGGGATTCTGCTTACTCTCGATTCTGTCCTCGAGAGCCCCCTCCTTCTGTCGCGGCAACCCGTCCCCTTGAGTTGAGGGCCCACCGTTTGCTGACGGGACATTGCCCTCAGTAGCTATTGCAGACGGTCCGGCTGCTTCCAGAGACGTGCCGTCCAATGCGGTGCCATTTGCCGCATGGCCGTTGGCGTCTGTCGCGTCCGACGTGCCATTCGGTAGATGGCCGTTCGTCGTCGGGCTGTCGGTTGCTGAGCCATTCGGCGCATAGCCGTTCGGAGCATGACCGTTCGGCTGTTGCCCAGGAGCCTGAGCCGACACGCGAGGCTCACTGCTCTGCTCAAGAGGTGCGGTCGCATTAGAGATGCCAGGCCCATCAGAGGGGCCGTCAGAGTGTGGATGCCCGTTGGGCCTTTGCTCTTCCGCGGCCGACATTCTCCGCTGACAGAGAGAGGCGATGGGGGCGGAAATAAGCTTGTTTGGGTTGCCGAGGTCAAAGCAGGCGTCGTGGCTGATGCGTGTTGTCTTTCAACGGGCGCCAAAGCAGATGGCTTGAGGACGACCCTGGTGGTTGGCTAGACTGGCGAGATCTGAAGAGAAAGCCGATGGTTGAAAGGGAAAAATTAGATAGCGGCGGGAGATCCTGTAGAGACCCTGCAGTGCAGCGCTGTCGTGGCCGTTGCCAAGACCGCAGATCGGTTCTGGGGGTGGTAACCTTACTGGGCTGGGAATGCCGCGTGCCAATGATGTCTTCAGTGGACCAGAAAGCTTGGCATCTGGCCCGTGTTTCCCGCTTTCAGGGAGCTGGCTGATAAGATGAGGGGAGCTGTGGCTTAATTGTGCGACAGACAAAACCTAGAAGTAAGTGATTCAGTGGCGGGCGTTAGTCTGGCTGTAAGGATGATTCGTCTTTGAAGTAAGGTCTCCAATGTCAACAGTGACGTGGTTGTAGGACGGTAAGGTAAGATGAGAAAAGACTGCAGAGATTGCATCTACCTAAAAGAAGAGGCGCGTGTTGGCTGGGGAGGCAACCAGGGGGGGTAAAGAGAGATAATAGGTGAGGGGCTGGGAGCAGAGGTGAGGGGAGGGGGGGTCTAAGGTTATCACAGGCCGGCTAGCAGCCAGCCAGCCAGCTGAGAGAAAAGAAGAAAAAGCCCGCGACACACAGAGGAGCACCTCAGAAAAAAAGAGCCCAAGCTCGCGATCAACAAAGCGTCGCAAGCACCATCCAGCTGGCAGTGGAAACTGACGTCATTTGGACAAGATTCGGTGGTAAGGTGCGGCTAGAACGTGCCGAAGCCGGGGTTGGCTTGTCATCTTGGCTGCTACATGGCTCATTGGTCCCTGCTAAGCCTGCTTGGCCGCAGCTGACCGGTTTTATCCGACTTGCCTTCACATCAGCACATGTTTCACCATCACGAGCCTTCCAACCTTGCATGTTGGTTGCCTGTACGTAAAATCTTATGTGGAGAGACACCTGCATCTTGGAAGCCGAGGGGCCCGTCTTCCAAGACCAGACCGCCCATTACTAGGCAATTAGGTTATGTCTTGCCCGTTTAGGATGGTGGGGCACATGGACGCCTCCGATTCACAGTGTTATTCTGCAGGATCCGAGAGACCGGCCATTCGCTCCGTGTCTCGGCAAAGACCCACTGCCACTCCGGACTGCCTCCGGCCCGGTCCGGAAGCTTCTGTTGGCAGCCCGTTGGCCAAGAATCAGTCAAAGATTTGCGATGATTTCTTCTACCAAAATCCCACATCGCCCATCAAGGCTTCCGATGACACGGACAACTTAAAGAGTAAGTCCTTAGGCAACAGAGATTGATAATTGCCTGGATATAATGTATCATGGACGATACGCTGTAAGTCCCTGGACTGAGAGACGAAATATGTTGCTTCATTGTTTCAGATAATCGATTCAGTTTACAAGGACGGTGGAAATGCCTCGTTTCTTCCAAGCTTTGCCGGAAGATAAACACATACATCCTGCATAAGTATTCATTGATGACCTCGTGAAAAGAAGGTTGATTCAGTTGCACGCTAGAAACACCAGTTTCACAGAAGGAATACTCATCAAAGACTTGAATAATGCTATCTCCAAGCGGATACGCCATGGAACTCAGCTGGTGGGCAGCATCAAAGCCGCAGTCTGCTCACCAGCCGCACAGCACCCCAGAAGCCTGCCCTCGACGACATAATCAAGGGCACAAACGAAACAATTTCAAAATTCCAGAAAACCCTGCCTCCCTCGAGATTTTTCTTCTACTCACCATCGCCAGCTTTGCTGTTTCTTGCTAGCGACACCACAACCTCAGGCCTCCAGGCTACTTTGGAGCACAGCAAATCAACCATGGACGACAGCGGTAAGTGCTTCATGAATCCTCATAAATACTGGCGTGAAATTCCGCGTTCCATGACTTCATCTACCCCGAGAATGTAGCCGGTGCTGACTGTGAAAGTAGACTCCTACCTCCAAGATCGAAGCAGCATGGAGGGCGCCGTGCAGTACGTCCCGTGAGCCCCTATCGCTTACATACATGCCCTCCTTGTTCCCTGGACTGACTTCCTTGCAGGCCCAAGTTGGCGTATCCCGAGGGTCCTCTTGTCAAAAGCGACGACGCGGTCGACCAGGGTCATGCCGTCTCCGACTCGGCTGCCTCGCCTTCTCCCATCGCCTATCAGGACCAAGGAAGCAACACCGCCGGCGATAACACCATCGACGAGGACGACCGTGCTCTCTACCAGTTGCTTCGTTATCACGTCAATTCTGAGATCTCCTCGACCTCTTCTGACCCCCAGCCTACCGGATCAGTCCCCACACCCTTTCCCTACCCTGTCGTGGGCGCGAGCGTTCCCGGTTACATCGCCGGCAACAACAACACCGGCCAGCCTGGAGTATTTGCCTCCCCCTCTGCCAACAACGCCTCCTTGGGCGCTCATGGCTACTTTCATTCGACCGGCTATACGAATGCTGCTCCTAGCAACGACCTCCCCCGCAATGCTCCAGTTGCTGCTATGACCACTGCCCCTACCGGCACCGCGTCTTTGAACATGAACGCCGTCTCTACCAACACTGCGCCCGCCAACGCCGCTCCTGTCAACGCCGCCCCAGCCAACACCGGCCCCGTCACCGTCGCTTACCAGGGACATCCCCTCTACAGCCGCCGCCGCCGGAACCGCATCGGCACTCGCGGCTGCCACGTGGGAAGCAGCGGCATTGACCGGCCAAACCCTCCGGAGCCGCTCCCCATCCCTGGACCTCCGGCCGGAGCCCCTCCCGGCGTGACCTATCCTCTCTCTCGAATGGCATACATGCCTCCTGGAGCTCCTTTCTACACCAGCAGCGGCCAGAAGCGATTTCCGTGCAACCGGTGCGGTCTCGTGCGATCCAGAGAAGATGAAACTCGATTTCATCTTCGTGATGTTCACTATCGCCAGGAGTACAAGTGGATTCATTACGGAAATCATGAGGAGGGACTCTACTACTTCGGCATCGACCAGTCTAACATCGACTGCCCTAGCATCTAGTGCTAGCACGTCATCCAATCTGGCTAAGAGGGGTTGGAAAGGCAACTGGGATATGACGCTCTTGGTGGAATGTACAGGAGGCATAGAGGCCAAGAGGCCCTCAAGATGGAACTACCAGCCGTTCCTCTGAACATGTATTCGCTTGCCGCGCAGAAATAGTTTGTTGACAGACTCCGTGGCCTTTGCTTCAGGTGCGCTGCTCATAGATCTCATCGGGCCTGTAGAGCCATCGTTACTCAAGGCAGATTACAAGCATGGTTCTCCATAAATGTGATGGAACGAGTATGCTGGATTTTCTGCTACGTGAAATGAATGCGTGATGGCCATCTGAGCTGAGTTGTTTGCGAAAAATGAACGATAGGTGCTCAGCTGACAGACTCAACAACCTTGGAGAAAGGAAACCACCCGTACAGCTGTCTCCCCCAGGGAGAATACTACCCTTAGATGTGACCAGGCTTTCCCATGATTCCATCTAACACACCACCCTGAAAGACCATCGAGGCTGCGTCTGAGTGTTGAGACAGAATCCACCCTTGAAGGTCCTCGGGTTCTTGTCACAAGTTCCGTCCTCGTAAGTATGGACTGTTCCGCAGTTGTCAGCATCTCCTCACATATTATTCCTCACTGAAGCAAGGGCCGCGGATAAGATTGATTCCACGAGTGTGAGCCGCAAGCGTGACACACTGGTTGCGGTTGTAGGTTCGATGGGGCCCGCCGGAGCCCGAGTTGCACGTGTTGGTGCCGAAGAGCTGCAAAGTCACAGTATAGGCCTGGCGGGCTTCGAGATCCTCCAAGTCTCTGGCTTCGACCTCTTCAACCTCCCGAGTGGGAATTTCATCGATCTCTCGTGCCGCAATGTCTTCGGGAGCTCGAGCCGCGACTTCGGCCACTGGGACCTCGACGCCGACGGCCTCAGGGGCGGGTCCTGCGAGAGAAGAGGGCGCCAGGACGGCGAAGATGGCAAGAGCGGCGGGGGCGATGTTGCTGAAGAGCATTTTGAATGGGAATTTGCTGTTGGTGGTGAAGTAGCTGGTTTGCTCGACTTGTTCGACTGCGTCTTGGTTGGAAGTGAGAGAACTCAGAAGGAGAAGGGCAAGAAACCTGCGGAATTCATAGTTGAGATTGGAGCGGCGGATATCTTTCGTCTCACAGATACTCGGAAACCCTATCATCATCTTCAGATAGTCTGGTTGAGGGATAAGGGCTGACATGCTCAGGACATGCTGTTTTCGATCACTTGACAATTTCGTTCGTCGCCCGAGGCGTTGAAGTCTGCCTCACGTTCTCATGTGGACGTTCGTAAGCAACGCCGTTGTTAACTCAAAGTTTCATCCGGAATGGGTAAACAGAAGTCGTATCCACGATTTCTACACGCATTACTTCAAGCAGGGTATCTCTTAATCGGCAGGTATTGTGCCTTGCTGCAGGTATGCCAGGCAAAGGCAAGGCTGAATACTTGCCATGTTTGGCAGAAACGTCTTGTGGATGTGGCAGGAAGTCTTGGCTTTCCTAAGGTCCCCGGATGAATGGGCATGTCAAGGCTAGTGATGTTCTTCAATCGCACTTGAGCTGTTGCGTCTTCTAAGACAAGTTGATGCTGAGCAATTATCAGGGCTTGGGGGTTGACATGCCGATCTGTCGAGTAGGTGTCAGCTGTGGCGGTATATTAGTCTACAGTCAAGCGTTGCGAGAGACATGTTTCTTCCCTCCTAACGTTTTCTTCTTGGCTGGATGTAAACCTTAGAATTACAGTACTGCTGAAAATTGATAATGACTTAGGTATCTATCTATATATATCTATATATGACATGGCGATCTAGGACGAGAAACGATTTTGAGGCACCCTGCGGTGCAAAAGCTCGGCACACTTTCTCTACGACTTATTACTATGATCCTACTTAACCTTTCCTCTTCTGGGTTTCTATCATACGAACTCAAGTTCTGTATTCATGGAATTGATTAAGGCCAATGGCAATGGACTGAATCAAAAATGCTTCGGCAACGGCCTCATACTCACGAGAAACAACAGCAGGAGGTTTGAATCTCAATGAAAACCATCATGATTCAAACGTGGACATTAATGGATAGCCCCACGGAGTAGGCCTTCGCATTTGACTTGCTTGGTGGCGTTCTTCAGTGTGTCGCTTTCTAACTGAGCCGTCAAACAGACGGAATAGGGAACCTGAAGTCTTTGTATTATCTGTTGGCTCATGACCAGGGCATCGACCAGAATAATTCTGACGCCTAATCAGCCAAAGTCCCCAATGACATGATAATCGGTAAGGGGAGAACGTTACCTAGTGTTTCCTAAACGGAAGCTCTCATCTCATGGCTACGATGGAACGCATCTGAGTGGTCCTTCGTGTCCAGGACTCAAAAGTGCCTCGCCTCGGAGGACGTTGAGATCAGCCTCCCCCATGGGGTAAGCTACGGCTCGGCGCGTTAGTCTCACATGCCGCAGACGTCAAAGCCATGAGACAAACCTCCGGAACTACCCGCTGCATTCATTGCATATGAAGAGAAGAGAAGATCTACAGCTGGGGTCAGTATGTTTTCGTCGCGTCTCACATTATTCACATAGTAATTTGTGGTCAGGTTTGTCTCAACGTACTCAGGTTTGACCAATAGCTTGCTTTAGCAGTTTTATTTCATTGCATAAAGGATTACTGCCTGCATTCTCGATCGACGTCGATTCCTCTCACGGCAATTGATCCTCACGCTGCCTGTCATCGGTCTCTTGAGCCTGGGTGTGTGATCTGTTTTCGGCTGTCTCAGGTTTAATTTCACGCGTTTCTCTAGATGACTTGTCTTAGCTAACAATGTTCACGAAATATGCATTATTGTACGGATAAACAGAATGAGCCTCAACAAAACTTATTGAGCCATCAAACTTCGCAACACGTGAAGGAGCAGCCTCGTGCTTAGCTGAAAGGTGTTCATGGATTTCCCGAAAGCGGAATGGTAATACGTGACCAATGCACCGCGATAGAAGCATCACGGGATTGGTAGGTGAACACTCGAAACTTTGAGCTTTACAGTACACATCGTTTAGGATATTGTTCGTTGAGCCAAGCTCCGTATCAATTGCCCACATACTTTTCAAAACCACTGACCGGTGTTGACGATGAAGGTGAAGTCTCTGTGAAGTTAGAAATTCTTGACCATGGGCTGTGGTGGACATTTACGGAGGAAGCTCGTTAGACCACGACGAGCCGTCGAGCCTCCTCCGTCTCGGATCTCGGAATGGCCTCACCCTGGCAGCAATGGCAGGCGATTTATTTGGTGGATTTTTCCTGCAGTGCTAGAGAAGGTTAGAGGCAATTAAGGCGGCTGTCAGGGGCCGAAGTGGAGTGAACCTGAATCAAAGTTAAGGGGTTACACCTGCGCACGTGCCATGGATTCCACAGGGCTGGCGGTCCCTTGATTTTACAGCGATTCAGCGGTTGTCCCTCCTGTGAAGATGGGGAAGTGCATCGCTGGAGGGGGAACCGAACAATGAGGTAGGTACCTCAAGGTTAAGCCACCTCAGACTCGGACACCGGCGCGCCCACGCGAACAAAGAAATGCTGCTGATGCATCGAGCCACCTGCAGTAGGGGACTTTTGGCCATGCGACTGATGGCGCAACGCAGAAACCACAGCGATGGGATTGGCGCAGGGAAATAGCCTCGTCCGATGAACCCCTGCGCCGTGGGCCGACCAAATATCCCACCCTCCGTGCCGTCGGTCCAGTCCGGTCCAGGTCGGTCCCTCCAGAGAGTTTGGGGGCAATCATCAGTGGACGTGCCATCCGGCCAGTTGGAGCACTCAACCCCGGGCAAGCACCTTATCCAGGTGCACTCTGCGCAGCCAGGCGAAAAGCTACTCCCAAAAGGCGATCCGTCCGAAGTCCTCCAGCAAAGGAGGTTCGCGTGTCCCTCCTTTCTTTTCCCACACGACCACATTTCGACCTTCTCCCGTTCTTTTCACATGCGTCTTTGAGTACATACGCATTTCGACACATTTCAAGATGGCGAGGCGGCAGCACCTCTCCCTGATGGTCATCCTGGCCGTCGTGGCCTTCTTCAGCATCTTGTACCTCTTCTCCGGCAGCTCCCCCGATGCTCCGTCCCCCGCCGCCGCGCCCCTGAAGGGCGACACCGTCTCCTCGAGCGGCGACATGCCCGACCTGGGCCACATCTCTAACAGCATCCTCTCCGGCGAGTCCATCGCGCCCAAGCTGGAGAACGCGACGGCCAAGTAAGCTTCCCTCCCTCTCCCCCCTCCCCCATGGCCTGCCGAACCCCGGAGATCGATGATCTGCAAGCACCCGGCCGGCTCGTCCGGCGTCCATGGAAACAAGCAACCGCTAACAACGTAACCCCCAACAGAGCCGAGCTCGGTCGAGCCTCGTGGAAGCTCTTCCACACGATGATGGCCCGCTTCCCCGAAAAGCCCACCGCCGACGACTCCCTCGCGCTCAAGACGTACATCCAGCTCTTTGCGAGGCTATATCCCTGCGGCGACTGCGCATCCCACTTCCGCAAGCTGCTGGCCAAGTACCCCCCGCAAACGAGCAGCCGCAACGCCGCGGCCGGCTGGGCTTGCTTCGTACATAACGAGGTCAATACGAGGTTGAAGAAGGAGATTTTTGACTGCAACAAGATTGGCGACTTTTACGACTGCGGGTGCGGCGACGAGGACAAGAAGAAGGCTGAAGGCGGCGAGAAGGCGAGCATCGAGCTTCAGAAGGATGGGTAAGTGCGGCTGGCCGTAGAGTGCTTCATATTATGGAATCATGCTGACTGGCTGTGCAGGTTGACCAAGGGCGGTTAAGCGCGTTGACTGCGAGCGAGAAGATGGAAAAGGCGTTTGGAAAAAGGTTGTTACATATTAGAATCTTGTGTAAAAAGAGGACGTCTGCTGGGCCAGTTTTGTACATGGCATTCGGCTGATATGCGACCTTGATACCTGGGGCGCATTGGTTGAGGCTGGTTCCGGCATGAGGCGTCGCGAGAACAT